CACACACACACACACACACACACACACACACACACACACACACACACCTGGCTCCCTCACCAGACTCCAAGCTTCCTAGGAGCCAGATAGACTTTACTTGTTTTAAAACTCCCCGCTCCCTGCACAGACTTTCAGAGAGGTCCTTTTTGTGATGGACAAGCCTGTCTCTGGCTGCTTGACCACAGAGGACAGGGTGACAAACCAGACCCTAGGTGGACCTCTCTGCTCTTCTGTCTCTCAGAGGCATCTGGGAGCAGGGTGCTGCCCTTGATTTTGGGTGTGCAGAGGCCAGGGATAGAGCTCAGACTCCCACCTTAGCTGGTATTATTTCAAATTCCTGGTCCAGAAGGCATTTTGCAAACTCGAGTGCGGCAGCGCTCAGAACAGCCCTGCTGGAGCCCATGGAGTGCGAGTTCCACATGGCAGGATTGTGCAGGAAGGGCCGTGCACTGGAGAGGCATCTCATCAAGCCTGAATGAGCTCCCGGTTTTTTTTTTTTTTTGTGTGTGTGTGTGTGTGTGTGTGATTTTGATGTCGGCTTGGCTGCCAGGCTGCACTTCTCCCAGCCCATAGACCGCAGACAAGCAGGCGGGGCAGGGAGGCTGAAGCCTGGTTTTTGTTGCCCCCCTCATCAGGAGCCTCCGGGATGGAACTGGGTTGTTCTTCAGGTGGTGGTTGGACAGAGAGGGGGCAGAGATGATCTCTCTGAGGTGCTGTCGGCATGTCTGTGGGGATGCTCATGCAGAATCCCCACGCAGGGAGAGCCTCACGGGATGGGAGGCCATGTGGTCTTAGGGGAACATCTACAGCCTGCCTTCCCTCCTGTCCATCTTTCCCCTGGCCAAGTTTGTTTGTTTTGAAGGGAGCCCTGTTTTCGATCCTCCCATGCCCAGAAGCCTTTCCTGAACCGTGCTGGCCACAGATGTTCTTCGCTGTGGGTGGAGTCCAAGGCTTCCATAACTAACCTCCTCCGTGTTGCTTTCTCATCTTCCCCCTTGGGCTCTCCAGCTTCCCCCAACTTTATAAAGTGACATGTGACTGTTCCCGTGGCCCCGGCCAGCCATCATCTACCACACCTTGCAGTGGGTGACAGGTGGTGGGAGTGTGCGGAAGAGATTATTGGTGAGGCGAGCACCCAGATTAGTGGTGGGGTGAGCATCATTTTCGAGTATGTGGAAGTTGCTCCTGAGGGAACTAACCAGGTTCGAGGAGCACTACACTACACTGCCATGTTCGGGTCATGCTTCTGGCCCACAGACCCATCCAAGCCACACTGAGCCCCGCAGATCTGCAGGGCATTAATTTTCCCATTTCAGGAGCTAAGGGAGGATGCCCAGGGCCACAGCACAGGAGCATGGTTTGCTGAGACCTCTGGCTGCCTCTGAGAAACAAAGCTCCCTTTGTGGATGGGTCTGGAGTCTTCCTGAATCCGTATCTCCTCCCTCCCCTGAGCAGTGGCTTCTGAGCTGATCTCCATTCCCAGCCAAGGAAATCAGATTGCATCCCCTACCCCATCCCCCCATTGCTCAAATGTCCCAGTATTTCCTGCGGCACAAAGGATAAAGCCAGATTCGTAGAGCAGTCATTAGGGATTAGCAGAATCTAGGTTCAGTGACCTGCTGACCTCATCTAGCCCCCTCCCCTGTCACACCTTCCTACAGCCACCCTGGCTTCTCTCCGGGTCTAGAATTGTACCCTTTATACGTGCTGTTCACTGCTCTGGAATGTTTCTCCTGTCTTCCAAACTTTAGCCTAAGTGTCCCCCCTCTGAAGCCCTCCCTGTTGCCGTCCCCTTCACCTCCCATGTGCATTTTCTTCACTGCTCCTGGCATTGCTGTCACCTCTTCTTGCCTGGCTCTCAACCAGAATGCACCGAGTCAGGGAGGTCAGGCATCTCCCCTGCTATTATCCCCCAGGTCAGCCCTCTCTCACGGATCCCACTACACTGTCATGTGGGGGTCATGCTTGGAGCCCACAGACCCATCCAAGCCATACTGAGCCTGGTGGATCTGCAGTGCCTAATAAATGAACACTGCCTTTCCTAAGAGAGGAACAGCGGTCTGAACGTCGAGCCCCTGGCAGCTGACGAGCTGATATTTACCAAATGAGTGGACAGATGGAATATGGATATGCACAGGTAAAGATCCTATTGATCACAGAAAACTTTAGGGTTACATTCAGTTCAGTGAATGCATACTCCAAAGGTGACTAAGAGGCCAAACCTAGTGACCAGCATCTCATTCACAGAAGCTGGAGACACTGGCACCGTGGAAATCAATTTGGCGCTTTATCAGAAAATTAGGAATAGCTCTACCTCAAGACCCAGCTATACCGTTCCTGGGCATATACCCAAAAAAATGAAGCACCACGCAGCAAGGACATTTGGTCAACTGTGATCCTTGCAGCTTTATTCATAATAGCCAGAAACTGGGAACAACCCAGATGTCCCTCAATTGAAGAATGGATAAAGAAATTGTGGTACATTTGCACAATGGAATAGTGTTCAGCTATTAAACACAAAGAAATCATGACATTTGCAG